GGAGCTCCTCTTGTAAGATAAAATAGCAAATGATACTGTCATTATTTTCTGCTGTAGATTCTTGAAGGTAATTAATAGAGCCACCAGCAGTAGGTGTTGCAAAGATTCTGTTCATGATGAGCTCCTGTATTCAGTGTGCTGGCTTTCTGGGACCCACCTGAGAGACAGGTGGTGCAAGAGGCCTTTACAGCCCTGGCATGTAGGCGAGGCCCTGCTCTTTTAATGAAGTGGGAGGCCAGGAAAAGTGCTAAAAAAGAAAAGGACCTGCAGTCTCTTGGTTGGATATTTTTGTCCCTTCTTGGAAGGCAGTTTCTCTAGCTCCTGGGAGTAGGATGAGGGCAGGCTGACACTGGTATGCCTCCCCAATGCTTTGGCTGCTTGCTACTAGACAGGCACAAGATTAGAGGCTGCTGGTTGCCCTTGCACTCCCTGGCTTGGCTCTTCCCAGCAGCATGCCTCCTGCCCCTGTACAGGGTGTGAATTAAGGGGTCACAGCAACTCATTAAAAAGCCTAATATGGATTTATAAGAACTTAGTCCATGCGTGGGAAATCACTAAGCAAGTATTTTCAAATTGAGGTAACGGGATTTGTGCAAACTAAAAATTTAACAGGTCTTTGAGTACAGATGGCATAGACCTGAGAGTTCTTAAAGAACTAACATGTGAAAACATTAATCTACTGACCAGGGTAAGTTGTTGCTAAGATTGGTGTGTGTACCAGAAGACTGGAAAGCAGCAATTGTTACTTAGATTTTTAAAAAGGAGTCCAGGGGTAATCCAGAAAATTACAGTCCAGTTTGCTTTACATCTGTTCCAGATAAATTAGTAGAAACTCTAATTAAACACAGGAGTAATAAGCACAAAGAAGATGGGGACGGCAAAGGATGAGATGGTTAGACAGTGTCATAGATGCAATGAAGTTGAGCAAACTTTAGAGTATGGCGGAGGACCGGAAGGCCTAGTGTGATCTGGTCCATGGGGTCGCAAAGAGTCGGACTCGAATGTGCGACTGAACAACAACAACAAAATAAGCACGTAGAGATACAAAGCCTGCTGAGTGAAAATCACCAGCCTTGTCTCACCAACCTTTTGGAATTATTTGAGAAGATTAACAACATGGGGATAAGGGTGATCCAGTAGAAATGATATATCTTTAAAAGGCTTTTGACAAAGTGCCTTATCAAAGATTTAGCAGTAATGGGATATGGGGAACAGGTCATTTTATGGATTAAATTTGGGTTAAATGGCAGGAAAGAATGAGTAGCAGTACATGGCCAGTTCTTGCAATGGAGGGAAATGTTCCCACAAGGATCAGTATTGGGACTGGTGCTATTTGTTTATAAATGATTTGGAACAAATTTGTGGATTATACCAAATTATTCAACATGGTGGAAACCAAGATGGATTGTGAAGAGCTCCAGGAGGATCTCTCCAGATTCGGAGAGTGGGCAACAACATAGCAAATGATGTTCATTCCAGGTGTGCCCACTGGAGCAAAAAAATCTCACAGTAAATATATGCTAATGGGTGTGGCTGAGACTGAGAGGGTCTCAAACTTTATGAGGACAATGCTTCTACAAGAACCCTGAAGAATTTAAGATGTTTCCATTCAAATAAGCATTCTAATGCGCCTGAATAATCTATGGCAACTAGGAATGCCCCAGACAACCGTTCTGAAGTCTCGATGCCATGATCAGTAGCTGTATAACTCTTCCCAAACAAGAACTGAAACAACTCCATCTACTGTGCTTCACCAGTTAATCTTCACTTTAAGAGAATGGAACAATTGGTGTTTTGTGCTTTCCTTTCTCTGCAAGTTGCTTGTTCACAATGCAAGGTCATGAGATGGTATTCTGGAAGTGAAGGCCTGAGTTGGTGGAATGAACTGGACCACTTCAGGGTCCTGGGGGCAGATGTGAATGTTCTTTCATGTCAAAAGATTATTTCAAACAGAAGACTAGTCCAGCAAGAAGGAAGGTTCTACTCCCCCCTCTTTGTTTGCTGTACAAGTTTTATATTTGGAGATACAACAACAACAACAACAACAACAACAACAACAACATAAGGGAGCATATTACAACATGATCTTCCAGGATTCTCAGCTCAGACTGAAATGGTTGTGAAATTCTACTACCTTGGCACGCTGTCATCTCATTGCCACATTATTCTCTTGCATGTGAGAACCAGACCAAGTCCCCTTTCTGCCTTCATGTTGAACAATCATGTATTTTCACTGATTTAATATACATATGTATGTGAGAGAAGACCATGCCATCCATTGTATTTAATACCACAGGATATCTTTGAAGACCTGTACAAGAGGGGAAATCCTATTCCCAGACCATGCCCCTGAGCACTCTCCTCTTGTTAGGACTCTGTCCCCTTCCTGCCTACCCATCCAATTTTCTCTGAGGCTGTCTTAGCCTTTCTAGTACTCAAAAGATTTCCAGATCAACCTGACAGAGTCACTTCAGCTTGATCCAGCCTGGTGATCTATGCCTGCATTTCTGAGGAACAGATATCTTTGTAATGTGCAGGGTCAGGGTGCTCATTTTGTGAGAGCCGACCTTGCAGCTCCAAATTGTTTTGCCAGTTCAGAAGCCAAAGCAATTCTTGTTTCTGCTTAGAAAAGGAACTGTTTTCCTGAGAGAGACAGAGAGCCTGAAATGGTATCAAAGAGTCTGCTCTGACTTAATCATGCTTGTTCATGCTTGCGCCTTATCCTGCCATTTTTTAAAAATAAAATCTTTAAAAGGATGCATTGCTTCAGTCCCTTTTTATCTTTCTGTTAAGAGAATAACCTGGTCAAAGGATTCTACCCCTTTTCAGATGGGCAAAAGCCTGGCTTGTTCTTGGAATTGGGCAGCTATTAATGCATACTTGCCCTAAGTCAAGAGTTGTCAGATCTTCCCCAAAGGGACACCTATAACACCTCCTCACTCCCCAACCTCGACATTTGCCCATTGTCCACCACCCTCCCCTCAGGCTGATGACATGGTATATTGGTTACCTCAAGATGGCAGCTGAATTTTTTTAGCAATGTCTGCAAAGCAGAAACTTTGCTAGCTACTTAACCCTTATTCCCCCCCCCCGTTTTTTTAATATTTGTGCATACATGGGCAGAGAAATATAGCCCAGGTCTGGGTGCCCCCTTGTAGATTTCTTTTATTTGTATGGTGGGGCTACACTTAGATATATGATACTGAGTGATTCCTGTGATAATTTCTTTTCCTTGAAGATATATGATACTGAGTGATTCCTGTGATAATTTCTTTTCCTTGAACATGACCGTGTCACTGGTGTCCATGATGATTAGCATCATGTCATACAATATTACCGCTAAATGATCCTAGTAACAAGCTCTGCCCTAAAGCTGTGTCTACTTGGCAACAGCAGAAACAAACATTCTTTCATTGATCCAAACATCTTATTTATTTATTTAAATATTTCACCCCATCTTTTCTTTTTTCCTCAAGGTGGCTTACAGCAATGATTAAAACATTACAAATAATAACCCCCCCAACTACCACCCCAAAAATAGCCCATCAAAAGCCCTAACAAATGAGCAGGCCATGCAGTGCTGCCTAAAGCTCTCCAATGAGAGGGCCACCCCTCACCAGGGACCCCATGTAGGGTTGCTAACTCTGGGCTGAGAAATTCGTGGAGATTTGAGGGCAGAGCCTGGGGGCAGTGGGGTTTGCTGAGAGAAGGGATCTCAGTGGGGTATCATGCCAGAGAGTCCACCTGCCAAAGCAGCCATTTTCTCCAGGGGAACTGATATCTATAGTAGATCCCTAGGATTTACCCTAAGGACATTTCTCAGGGTGGGAACAATAACAGAAAAGGCCCACCTCTAATCAGTGCCTCGTGTATCACTCTAAGTGTGGGAACAGCCAGCAGGTGGCAGCCTGAAGACTGTAGCTGAGGCTTCAGGAACATATGGAAGGAGCTGGTCCTTTACATATGTGGGCTGCAGGCTGTGAAGGGCTTTAAAGGTCCTACCCAGCACCTCAAATTAATCTTGGAAACAAACTGGTGTAGTTGTTTCAAAATGGGCAACACATGCTCCCATTGGCTAGCCACAGATAACGGGACTGCTGCATTCTGGACCAGCTGCAATTTCTGGGTTGTCTTCAAGGGCAGCCCAATATAGAGCACATTACACTAATACAACTGTGAGGTTATAGAAGCATGGATCAGCATGGCCAGATCAGCTGAGAGTAAGAAGGGAGAGAGTTGGCTAACCACATGCAGCTGATGGAAGGTACTGTTGGCTACTGAGCCATCCTGCTTTTTAAACAGAAAGGCACTGAGCATCCCCAAGCTCTTAACTTCCTCTGAAAAAGCCAACTTCACTCTGTCCAGGACAAGTGAGTCCAGTAAAGAAATGTATAAAGGAATCCTTACAAATGGGAAACAGAGACTGCCCATGGCCCCACCTCCCTTAAGAGGGAAAGAATAGGGGAGAGTTCATCAGCTACTTCCACAGCTGCACAAGCCTGTTGCTTCTGGGGCTTGGGAAGCTGGCTCAGTGGTGGCAGATGGCAGTGCATGCCTGTCCCCCTAGCAGCTGACTTAGGGGTGCTCACATGAACCAGACCCTTCCCCTCATAGCTGGCTCAAGGGCTGCACCAGCAGAGGGGGTAGCAGGGAGTGCTGTGATTCTGGAACCCCATTATGGACTTTTACCCAGGGTCCCAGAATCACTAAGACCACCCAGCACCCACGTGGGAATTCAGTTCCTGGTTTTAAGGCCTAATCATTAGCTTGGCTTTCCACATAGCTAAGAGAACAGAGTCTAGAGCTCACTGATCCTTTTATTCTTGCCTTTGCAACAATGATCCCACCCACATATGGCATATTCTGCTCTAACGTCATTCCGTAAGAGCTCACTGTCTGGAATGCTCACCGTTTATTCTGTTCCCCTGGAGGTAGAGATTCTCGAGGCTTGTGCTGACCTTTGGTATCTTCTGAAGTCTGTTGTAAGAGAGATCCAGTTCCAGGAGACTACTGGTATTGAAAGCATTGGAGGCAAGTCCATCATTTGTCAGACTATTGTGGGACATTCGTACATAGTTCAGTCTGGGGGAAGCCTTGAAGTAATCCTCAGGGACACTGTATATGTTGTTCTGCTCCAAATAGAGCTGCTCTAGAGAGCTTGGAAGGCCATCAGGGACTCTCCTCAGTTGGTTGTAGCTCAGGTCCACAACAATCAGAGACTTTAACCCTCTGAGGTTTGGTCCAATTTCATGGATCTGGTTGTGGCTGAGATACAGGGCAGTGAGGTTCTCTAAGCCCTCAAGAGCATTGGAGGGAACCTTGGAGATCTGATTGTAACCCAGGTGAAGCTCTCTCAGGGACCGTGGCAGTGGGGTAGGCATCTTGGTCAGGTTGTTGTGGTCCAGGTACAACCTCTCCAGATTCTTGAGCTTAGCAAAGACTCTCTTGCCCATCTTCTCACTGGTGATTTGGTTGCCATGCAGTGCAATCCATTCCAGACTTGTAGCATTGTCAAAAGCTCCCTCTTGGATAGTCGTGATTTGGTTGTTCTGGAAATATGCATATTTCATCCGGGAAGGCACAAAAGGAAGATACTTGAGATTGCGAGTGTCACAGTACAAAGCAGAAGAGAAGTTGGGAGGGCATTCACACTCATGAGGGCATTCCCTAGAAACAGGGGGTTCAGGGACAGGCTCCCCATCAGGAGACCCAGCTGGGACATAGGAATATGCAGGAACCTCATCTTCATAATATGGTGAATAGCTGTAGGATGAGGACTGGCTGCGTAGGTATGCTTGCAGCCAGAACATGTCCTCGTAGTCTTCATACTGGCTCATGGACACACCACAGAGGCCAGCCACGATGAGAACAGAAGCCCAGAGCATCTTGCCACAAATCTTGGACCAAACTATAAAGAATGCTGAAAAGAGAGATTAAAAAACAACATGGAAAGTGTTAGCTCAGGCATACATGAATAAGAAGTAGAGTCAAGTTTCTGTTTTGTTTGGGGTGGAGGGCATCATAAATACACTGAACAAAATGGATTTCATTGATAACTGAATATGTGTAGTCATGAATTCTACTGTCAGTAGTGAGTTTCCCAAAAGAGTGGTATCAGAAATCACCAAACTGTGCATTTAGAGTGCTGAGAACTGGTTAAATAAAGCAAACAACACCTTCCACTGAAAGCTTTCCACATATCCTTCCATTTGTATCCCAAGAGCAAACACATACACACAATAGTAGCTAGCAAGTGGAAGGAGGGAAATCTGCTCCATTTCAAATGGGTATTACATGAGTGCTGCAGTTTTTCACCAATGATGGTTTGCAGATATGTTAGCTGCTGACACTGCCATGTTGAATGTGAATTACACAAGGATGGGAAACATTATGGCAGACAAGATCTAAACCAGATACTTTTGGCAAACAGCATTTTCCATGGACTGAAAGACAAAATTCTGGTACCTGTGCAAAGGCCAGAGTGAAAGCTGATGCGCCACGGGGCAGGTCACAGCAACCCTGGTAAAGGAGTAGAGGCTGGTGTGCCAAGGTGAAGTCCAGCTTTAAAGAGGGTGGGATCTGGTTCACGAGGGAACAGAGCTGCTGGCAAAGGAGTAGAGCCCAGTTACAAAATGGAAAATAAATATATAGGGATTGAGGATGGAGCCAGATGGAGATTGTAAAACCAGCTTTCCTTCTTCTGTTTCTGAAATAGGAGAGAAGGCCAAAAATAGGCGGGGGAAGTAGCCAGCATTATGGGACAATGGTTACAGTATTGGACTGATGCAAGGGTTCAGATTCCCATTCCAACATGAACCCTATCTCACAGGGTTGTTATGTTGTTGCCATCCCCAGCAACATTTACCATTAGCTATGTTTTAGAAGACCTGGTCTGGATAGCCCAGGCTAGCCTATCTTGTCAGGGTCTACCATGGTTAGTACTTGGATTTTGGATGGGAGACCACCAGGGAAGTTTATGGTTGCTATGCAGAGGCAGGCAATGGCAGGCTACCTCTTGCCTTGAAAACCCTATGGGATCACCATGAGTCTGCTGCACTATGACCGGGAAAAAGGTTTTAGAACTGTTATTCTTGCAGCCACAAGTCTGGCATCCAACAGTGGTAAAAACAGCCTATACGTTTGTTCCTTCACAGGTGACTTAAACAACATTGACTTTTCATGTAAGTAAACATGCATTATTTTTAATGATAAGTGCAGTTGAAGTTGTGCATTCATTTAAGCACACAATGCATTTACTCAAGGATTTGAAGCAAGAACATTTTCAAGATGCCCTGGAAATCTCACTGAACATCATCCAACCCAGGAGCAGAATTAATTCTGTGTGACTGATGATGCAGTCTGATCAGCAAAGACTTAAAGTGCCAGTCAAGATCAGGGCAGCCAGTGAACAGCTCAGAGGTTGTCATACAATAGCATGAAGACTTTTCCAAATAGCAACGATGTTTGCAAAGATCAAAGTTGCTTTGTGAATGATGAGGTACAAACAGGAAAAATTGGGAGTAAGGGGCCAAAGTAAGAAGGAACAAGCTTATTTTTCCTGACTTGAACCATGGTCAGAAAGGATTTGAAGTAGGGACATAGTAGGGGAAACTGAACAGCACTATGACAAAGAAATGGGCTTATCCATAGAAGTCCGAGCTTTAGTTCCTATCTTTGCTACGGAATGAATAGTTTCATCGGGTTGTATTCTGGCCAGATTAGACCTGGCTTGGGTACTTTTTGCTAGCAAACTGATTTTTCTTCCTGCTCAGGCATGACTGGTTCGTTACTGACCTGTTTCAGTGGGGTTGCTTCCCGTGGTGCTCTGGAAATGTTCTAGGAGCTATGGATGAATGTGACATGGTCCCTACCTATGCTGGAATTGCTCACCTGGAAGATTTCAGAATTGGGGCATCCACTATCACTTGCTGCAGCTCTGCCTGCTGGAATTTCATAAGAATAACCAAAATTAAGGCTTCCTGCATATAAGTGAGGATCTTATCACCTGGACCTAAGTAGTGGTAACAGGCCAGGCAGGTTGTGGGTGAAAACAGCGTACATATATGATGATGCTGTTTAACCTTCCACATATAAGATTTAAATCCATTTTGAGCCTCTCCCCTGCTTTTCATGGTGATGTCTGTTCTTTGTAAATATGGAAGCGAAAGAAGCACTTGTCATGTACATGAACATTTTGGTCAATGCAGTGTTTTAATTGAGAGGGCGGTGGCGATACAGTTGCAGGGCTTTATGGATGACACTTCTATATTAGATCTCTCCCAGTCCGGCTTCCACCCGGGACATGGGATGGAGACGGCATTGGTTGCTCTTACGGATGACCTCTGGAGGCATCTTGATCGGGGCAGTTCGGTGGTACTGTTGTTGTTGGACCAGTGGCCGCATTTGACATGGTCGACCATCAGTTGCTGACCCACCGCCTCACCGACATGGGGATCCAGCGGCTTGCCTTGCAATGGCTCGCTTCCTTTCTCCAGGGCCAGGGACAAAGGGTGGTGCTAGGGGAACAGCAGTCCAGGAGACACCCCCTTGAGTGCGGAGTGCCTCAAGGGGCAGTGCTTTCCCTGATGTTATTCAGCATCTACATGCGCCCCCTTGCCCAGATTGCCCGGAGGTATGGGCTGGGATGTCACCAGTATGCTGATGACACTCAGTTCTATCTGATGTTGGGTGGCCAGTCGGACTCCAGACCGGAATTTCTGGACCAGGCACTGCAAGCTGTGGCTGATTGGCTTAGACTGAGTTGGCTGAAGCTGAACCTGGTGAAGACAGAGGTCCTGTGCCTGAGTCGGGGCGGTTTGGGGGTAGGGATCCCACTCCCAACCTTTGGTGGGGCACAATTAGTGCCAGCGCCGGAGGTTAGGAGTTTGGGAGTGCTCCTGGATCCCTCCTTAACAATGGAGGCCCAGGTAGCAGCCACTGCTAAGTCAGCTTTTTACCATCTTTTCCTGTTTCAGCAGTTGGTTCCCTTCCTCAACTGCGGTGACCTGGTTACAGTGATCCATGGGATGGTCACCTTGAGACTAGACTACTGTAATGCTCTCTACATGGGGCTGCCGTTGTCGCAAATCCGGAAGCTGCAGCTAGTGCAGAATGCTGCAGCCAGGCTTCTGATGGGCCTTCCTAGATGAGACCACATCCGGCCTGCACTGAAGGCACTGCGCTGGCTGCCAATAGCATACCAAATTTGCTTCAAAGTGCTGGCACTCACCTTTAAAGCCCTATATGGCCAGGGTCCGACATACCTGAGGAACAGCCTTTCCCCATATATACCCTAGAAAGCGCTACGGTCGGGGTCACAACACTGATTGACCCTCCCAGCCCCCAAGGATGCCAGGCTCGCTACCACCAGGGCCAGGGCCTTTTCAGTGGTGGCTCCATACTGGTGGAACGAGCTCATGGAAGAGATCAGGGCCCTGTGGGATCTTCTACTGTTCCGCAGGGCCTGTAAAACGGAGCCCTTCACCAGGCTTTCAATTAGGAGCCGCCCTCACCACTACCAAAAACATCTGTGGTTATGGGCTGGTCCCAGCTTTGAGATCGAGCCATACCATCGTGTGACGCCAGAAGATCACTGAGTCGGAAATTGTCTGCTTGTTACATCATATAGTACGCCATCTTAATTAATGATGGAATGATTATCATTCCTAGCACTTAATGATTACCTGATTGTTTTAAAATGTTTTAAATGTTTTTATGTGGATTTTATGGTACCTTGTACCGACTAATGTAAGCCACCCTGAGCCTGTTCACGGGGAGGGCGGGATACCAATAAAATTAATAAATAATAAATAATAAATACATTTCCATTTCCATTACAAACTGACTGAAGCAAGGGTCTCTTTGAGAGTCTCATGTATGAAAACACTATTAGAACTGAGTTGCTAATTGCACACAAACTAACAATTGTCCACAGGACCTTACAGAATGGACTGCAGACGGGCCTTGTTTTGATACACAATCCTGTGGCCTGGTAGGGAAGCATATTTATGACATTTTTGCTATTAAATCCTGGCACACCAGACAAAGAAGATATAGTCCTCTGGCTCCTCTGAACTGTACCTAGATTGGGGGAAACTGCTGGCTCCCTGGCACAGCTTCTGGAAGAAAAAGAGACGGAAACACTAGTGCCTGGATTCAAGATGGAAAGAGGAAATGTTGCTCTCAAAAATTCAGAGCCCAATCCACTACATCTATTAAGTCCTAACGATTTCGATGAATGTGAACTCAGTGCATAGTTTACTCTCTTCCACCCAAATCTGTCACTTTAAAAGTGTTTAATTTTGGATTCATTGTGTCTCCTTTTGTGCCATGCTAGTGTTCGCCTTGTTCTAGTACCTCGCAAGGTAATTCATTCCCATGGAAAGTGAGAGGAGGCTTGAGTGAGCCTGTTTGCTGCTTATTAAAAACCACAGGTTGTGGCTCAATTGTAGAGTACGTGCTTCGCCCACAAAAGGTCCCAGGTTCAATCCCTACCATCCTTCATGAAAGGATCTCAGGTAGCAGGTCTCTCAGCAGAATTGCTACTGCCAGTCAGCATACAGTAGACAGACTGAGCTGGGTAGACCATTGATCTGACTGTATAAGGCAGCTTTATGTGCTCAAATAGGAATCAAAGTAAATAAATGTTTGCATGCTAGAGAGAGGGAAGAGGACCACCCCACATGCAAACATGGGGAAAAGACAACTGATAAGTAAACAGAATGGCAGGGTATTGCAGGGAAAAGAGAGCCTCTAAAGAAGAATACCAACAGAATGTGAAGGACATGATCCTTGCCTCTTACAGGGAAGGACATGTCTTTGCACACCTCCCGCATCTCCATCCAGACTTCCCTACTCTGCTTGGTTAAGAAATACAAGCTCCTGCATGTGCATGGAGTTGGGAAAGGGGGAACAGGCAGGGTTCCATTGTTCTCTGCGCAGATCTCTCTCTGCACCTGTCTTCAAACCTTATCCAGTTTTTCTAACATAATTGGGGGGAGGGGTTACAAAAGGATTACAATAAGGAATAAACTTTTTACAAAATTGCAGTAGGATTTTCTTGTGTTATGTGTCATTGTGATGTCTCTGGCACTATCCAATAGATGCCTACAAGACTCAAGAAACCACATTCCACATATTATTCACAACTGCTATGGGGGGGGGGGACAAACAACAACAAAACAAACCCAGCATTTTCCCAACTAGAAGCTACTGCTGTTTGAGAGCTGGGGGATTAGAACTATGCTGACAGAAGTGCTACCTTTTATTTAATTCATTTGTGCCTCATCTTTCTTTCCAAAATAGCTTACCTTGTTCTCCTCCCCTCCATTTAATCCTCACAACAACCCTTTGAGGTAGGCTAGTCTGAGAGAGTGTGACTAGCCCAAGGTTACCCACTGAGCTTCCATGGCACAAGTTGGATTTGAACCCAGGTGTCCCAGATACTAGACACTCTTAACCACTGCAGCACCTTGATTCTTTGCCACAAGACATATGAATCTTACCACTGAATAATTAATAGTGTGCATCACACACACACACACACAGAAGTACAAAATGTAGGATGGAAAGAACTTGCTTTTATTTGCATGTTCATTATGTTTATTTGAAGCATTACATTGTGTTTCGATATTGCGCACTTTAGAAGCCTGACACGTGGGCAACTCTTCAAAAATCATTACTCATCTCATTCTAGTGTCACCTGGCTTAACAAAAATAAAGCATTCCTTGCTCTGCTTGTAAAATGGACATCTGCCCACACTACGGAGCTTTGCTTGTTTGTAGAAGAGGTCATGTCTCTCTGTATATAATAGCAGTTGCAGAAAGGATTCTTTTCCTTCACACTGTCCCTGAAAGTATTCTCCTGCTTGGTGTACCTCTTTGCAGTGCTGGATGGATGCAAGATTCATTCTCATTTGCTTTCTAGGTATTGCAGTCTAGTCATATGGGCTTTGAGGGTATAAAAAAGTAACATCTCATAATCTCTAAAGGAACATCCTTTAGTTACTTGTATTCAGATGATCTGGGATTGTGATCCCCCCCCCCACCTACACCTGGGACTATAGAGTGCTGGACACTTAAGGACAGCCTTCCTGTCCTAGTCCTAATCCAGCAATTATCAACTGTTTGTTCTGCCTGTGATTTCATTTGTACTGTTCTTTGTCAATAATGATGCATGTGAGCCAATGACAGTGCAACCAGGTACATAGTGTCCTGGGCATTAAATAGCCAGAGGCTGAAGAAAGGAGACTGCCAAGACTGGGCGTATGTCTCATCTCACCTCTTGCTGCCAAGAATTTCACAAATCACAAAGGAGGACAGCTCATTATTAATGAAGCCATCCTCAGTAACCACAGCAGCTTCACTTGCTTGCCATCCCATGCTATTCTCATGATGACACCCCAGTTTAGAACTATGCCAACCGTAGCAAGGAGCTTCAGATACCTCTTTGGCATGCAGGTGCTGAGGACTGCCAGCACATCCTTTGACAAAATATGTAATTCAGAAATCAACTCACCCCAGGCTTTAAAGACCTTTTCCCCCAGAGCTTCAGTGTCCGCCTGTGTGATCCTCCTGTGTATTAAGAAGCATGTGTGTGTGCAAGTTTCAATTTGCCAAGGCTGGTGCCCGCCCAGCCTCCTGATCAAATATTGAGCTGGAAGGCCATGGGCTCTGCTGGGACTTTTTCTTTTTTGGAGTGACCTCCAAGCAGCAGGCAGTTTGCAGACCAGAGTGAAGAGACCTTAATGCTGCTTGGTGTTATAAATAACTAGAGGATTTTCTCTCTCCTTTTCCCTTACAGAGGGCTTGGCAGTTTCAGCTTCTTTCTGTTTAACAAGTTAGTGGAACCCTGGATGTTGTTTTTAACAGACCATCTCGAGCGCTGCTGTGTTTCTCATCAGGAAGAATGGAATGAAAGACATCAAAAATATGGGGAGGAGGCTGAACTGGGGAGATTTAGGAATGTGTTGCTTAGAAATGAAAGATCTTTTCAGGACTACATGTGAGGAAGGGAAAGTGTGGAGACTTGATGTTTTTGCAGTTGGCAAAGCCAAATTTTGTAGAAAATGCCCATCGCTACAGGTTGCATGTCCCAAGACTTCCCAGTCTCTTACGATCCTTCTCCACTAACTATCCCTGACCCCAAATTCTTCCCTTCTTGGCACCACCCTGCATAATGCTTCCACCATACTGGCCACTACTACTCCAGTCTCTGTTCAGATGTTCACTAGTAAGGTACAGCAAGTTCTTTAGTCATCCTGGAAAATAATTATTCTCTGATATAGGAGGAAGAGCTCACGTAGCTTATAGGCAGCCCCCTAAACTGAAACAGCTCCTCAACAACAAAAGTGGTCCATATAACACACCTGAAAAACCATCCCCTGAATATAGCCCAGGGCAAGCTCTGCGTTTCATTCATTCCAGCAGCTCTAGCCCTTTTCAGTCATTACAATTTTGGCTCTCAGACCACATGTAGGAGAGATCACACTACCTGCTAAGTATGCTTTGTGAATAGGACAACTTATTTTCCAGTTTTGGTATGAGTAACCCTGAACTATCAACAAATCTGAGAAAATTTGTGTTACCTGAAGTTAGAAAATATTCATTTCCATATTCATACCTAATGGTGACCACACATACTAGGAGGATTGCATGTAGCGCAGTCTCCCCTTATTGGCTTATCAGCATCTATATATCTAATAGCGAAGGTGCCCCCTGAGTGTGGATATCTAAATCCGCACATCGGGGGCACCTGGGGGCAGAGAGATTTTCCTGTGCACATGGGGCAATGCCCAGGTGTGCAGAAAAATCTGAAAACTGTAAAAAAAATATAGGGGGATATTTAAATCCCCCCAAAATAATACAGTGCCCCCTGCACATGCGCAGGGAACACTCTTAGAATGGCTTTGCTGCCACCAGAGAAGGGGAGGGGGTGGGGGGAGAGAAGGCTTGGCTGGCTGGTGGCTGCAAGCCGCACATCCCTCACCGCCGCCGCCCGGGGGGGAGGGAGAAAGTTTGGCAGGCCGAGCTCCGGCCTCACCATCGCCACTGCTGAGGGGGGGAGGGGAGGAGAAAGTTCGGTGGACCGGTGAGGCCTCGTCACTGCCACCACCGCTTGGGAGAGGAAGGTTGAAGGATGGGCTCACCTGCTGCCTCTTCTGCAGGCCAGGAGCTGTGGGGAATACTTCCCCCCCCGCGAGTATCGCGGGTCCCGCCTCTTGTCAGTTATATTGTTGAGAACTATTCACATGGACATTTTCCAGCATGCTAACAATGAAGGCCTGCCATTCACACAGGCCACACAGGACAGTGTCTACATGAGAAAATGAAACACACACACACACATACCACACATGAGGAAACATTTCATTTCACTAGGTGGGGAAAGCATCCCCTCATGGTTTTTAAGCAGAGGCTGCATGACGTTTGTCAGGGATGCTTTAGGTTATCCTGCATTGTGCAGAGGGTTGGACTGGATGGTCTGTAGGTTCCTTCCTTTTCATTATATGATACACTCCCCAAAATGTTTGAGAGAATGGAAACAAGAAACTGAGACTAACCAAGTCCATCATCTAATTTGACATTTGTATTGATACTTTCCTGTTTAAATGAAGATAAATTGTCTTCCATGTGGTTTTAATTTATTGTGTTTGACAATGGTGGTGGTGGAGAAAGCCTTACACAAATTGTATTTGGGGTGTCTTTGCTACCCTGAGCCAAATTCCAATGTATCTTGATATAGAAAAAATGTTCTACAAAATAAACTGTTTTTGGTGGCCAACATCAGTCTATTTCACAATTCCCCAGAGCCTGTTGAAACACCAAAACCTTAATAAGCTTTCACACATGAGCTGGAGTTTTTTGGTTTAGATTCCCCTATTCTTTTGCTTGTGTAATAATCCATACCAGTTCAGAGGAATATTAGCAAGTCATCTTTCTGTGCAATTAGGGAGGGGCTGTATCTCCCCTTGAGCACTCTATAGTACTTCTCTCATTCAGTGTTTTCTGGGGAAACTTGTGATATGGTACATTGGGGTGAAATACTGGGCTGAACCACACACTAATCATATGCTCCAGGGCACCTCCTTTGCCCAAACTACAAAAATTGGTTGATTTTTTTCTGAGATTGTTTTATAGCCAAAAGGTCCAACCCACCCACCCCCACAACAAAACCTGTATGCAGTAAGTACTTTGGCAATATTATTTACTAATGGGCAGATGACAATTTCCTAAAAGGAAGAATTTGTAGAACCACTTCACTATGCATTTTGCTAAAGAAGTACAACTGGGGAGGAATTTAACTCCAGTACATAAGTAAACAGGTATTTATGTTGTCTACAATCTATCTAGATAACAGATCAAGTTGCATTCCTTTCTTCAGGATGGATTGCCATTCTTTTTTCTCTGACTGAGTAGCCTTTGGTATATCCTGAAACCTGTTTTGCACTCAGTGCCCTCTGACCCAATTTATCCTGCAAAACATCCTGTATTTCATTTTAAAGTGCTAAAAACTGCAGATTAGGGTCTTTTTCAGTATGCCCTGAAGCATCTTCTCTCTTTTCTGGCTGCTCCATTTAGTAATAAACATCCAGGCTCATAAAGGGTTCTAGGGAATTCAACACCTTGTGCTCACTGTTGGTTGGTCTTAATAAAAAGGTATTACAGTACTGTTGTTTTCAGAGTTTTCCAGTGCCGCTATCTATTATTTGCAATTCAGCAGTTTTTCAAGTCTCATTCCGATAACTTGGTTTCCCAAGATCATGTGTCTATATATACCAACCTTCTTCTTTTTAATTTAATTGGGTTAAATATATTTATATATGGCTTGCTCTCAGAATAGGTACCTTTTTGAGTCTCCTGGTTAAATCCTTTCAGTTATCATTCATACAGGGCAGAAAGCAAACCTATGTCTTTTTCTCCATTACAAAATATAGCGCAGAGAGAATGAAGCTGGAACATCTATGTGGCCTATGTGTTGACAATACCAAGATCTAGAGATTTTTGCTTGTTGCCAGCTTCACTGATCTTCTGACTGGTGGTTTAAACCTACCATTAATGGTTAGTTGACTATTGCACATATGACGGTGGGTTTTTTCTCTCCCCAAAATAAGGAACAGCCCTATATGGGATAGTTTCTTTGTGAAGTGTGTTGATGACTAATGGTATTTTTGTAACATCTGTAGTTTTGCTGTAAGCTAAGCAAGGCTGTATAGGCAGAAATGCAAAAAGTATAAATGAGTCTTGTAGCATCTTCAAGACTAAAGGTTTTATTGCAGTGTAAGCTTTGGTGGGCTAGAACCCACCAAACACATAGGATGTCCTCAACAATAAAGAACGAAGTATAAAAATTAGTGTCCAAAGGCAAGGCAATGCAAGAGGTACAGTCTGTGACATTTTATGCAAGGCCTAATTTTGTGTGTGATATATCTGAAACAAAACAGACCAAGCTTAGGCTCACTAATCAAAGTAATTGCTAGGTTCTTAAGTCTTTGCTAAACTCCTAATAGTGAAATAAAATCGGCAGAAAGACCTCAGGCTGAGACCTTCCAGAACTGCTGCCAGATGAGTTATCATCACTTGAATATCTCTTTTAATAGACACTTAACACATTAACAGATTAGGATTGCCAAATGACCGGGGGGGGGGGGGGTGCGCAGAATGGGACTCCAGGCAACTCAACAACAGCCTCAGGAATCAGCAAGTGAAGCTTTTAGGACATTCCCCGGGATTTGGGGGTGGAGCCTGGAAAGGGTAGGGTTTGGGGATAAGAGAACTCCCAGATTTAGGGATGTCGACTCTGGATTAGGAAATTCCTGGGGATTTGGGAGTGGAGCCTGGAGAGGGACTGCAGCTGGCTATAATGCCACAGAGTCCACCCTCCAAAGCAGTCATTTTCGCCAGTGGAACTGATCTATGTATTCTGGAGATCAATTGTAATTCTGGGAGATCTCCAGGCCCCACATGGAGGTTAGTAACCCTACCATGAGTAGGTGGCCCACTGGCAGCAAAAATGAGATCTATCTCTTTTGCCACATTTCCAAAGGGGAACATTGTTAGTTTCTACTTTCATTCAGGCAGGTAGGTGCATCTGTATTTAGTAGCTTAAAGAATATCAACTGGCCTTGAGAGCCCATTCAAAAAACACCTTTCACTAAGATGCAACATAAAAGCCCTCTTGACAGAATACAATAACACTCTCGTAACCATAGATTAAAGCTTGTATCCCCTTTAGTATCATTCATTTGAATGCACTAGCATCCAAAGTATATACTGACATCTGTAAGATTTTAAAAAAATCTTTATAGTACCAAGGGTCTGAGAGTTGAATTATTGGGCTTCTGATGATAGATTTTCAAAAGGGCTCAGATCTCCTAATGAGAGCTGGCAGGCTCAGAGCAAAACCCAGATCTTTTTAGAGAATCATACTTTCATGAGTGTTACTAGAACAGCTGAGGACAAGACTTCTGAACTGTATGCTATTCATAGTCCTTCTGTGGACAGCTTGAGTGATCTCTGTCCTTTGTGTTAAACATTCCTTATCTGTGTTGCTGATTTTTAGACCTGTGCTGTCAAGGTGTGAGGCCAGCTTCCCTATGAAGGCACAAGCTTCTCCTTCAACTGCCCCTCCCACATCTCAGTCCAGTTTTGCTTTACCTTTGCTTATCAAAGAGGTGCATAGCTCTTCCAAGCGAGGCCTGTCCTTGAACCAATGGTGCATGTTTTCTTCTCTCAGTAATGACTAAAAATGCTGGTAGTTTCCC